TGTTGACCTGAAATTCAAATTTAATCAGGAATTCTGTATTTTATCTGGCAACCTTAGCCGGGGGGAGCCTGGGCAGGCAGGCAGGAAGGCTTCCAGGAGGAAGGGGCAGTGGTGCTACGAGCTGATGGTGTGGCCACCTTTCCTTCCCCTCCCCCACCTACAGGTGCACCCTTGACTGGGCTCACAAGGGACTGGAGGTGGGGTTGATCTCCACACCAGGGAAGGTGAAGGAGGCTGCTCTCCTTTTTTTTCAGAAGATGTGGGGCAAAATCATCAGGACTTTATATTCCACATCAGAATTGAGTTACATCCCCTTGACCAGGGATATTTTGACCACATCCCAGCACTGAAGGCCACTTGGAAGCTGAAGGCTACCAAGGAAAGGCTACTTTCCAGCTGTGTGACCTTGGACAAGTCACTTTACCTGTTGCAGACCTGTTCTCCTCCAGTGCTCTCCCCCCCCCCACCACTCTGCCTCATCAGCCACATAGGGTTTTGGCTGCATCTCCAATTCACCAGGCGTGGTTCAGCCTCAGGGCCTTTGCACATGCTGTTGCTGTCATGAGGAGTACTCTTCTCCGGATCTCTATGGGTCTCCCTCCTCTCCTCCTTCATTTCTGTGCTCAAATGGCACTCTGAAAGGCCACCCCTAACCACCCTACTAAAAAGTGTAGCCCCCACATTCTCAATCCCAGTTCTTTGCTTTTCTTGGTAGCATTTACCAACACCAGACCCGTTATGCATTTCACTCATTTATCTAGTTTATCATCCATTTCCCCACCGGGTGGTTAGCATCACAAGGCTGGGATCTATTTTACTCACTTCTGTGCTCCCCTCCCCAGCACAGCAGCTCAGTAAGAGTCGTTGAATGAATGAGTAGGAAAAATGAATGAATGAGTGAGTGGGAAAAAAGGCCTGCCGCAAATGTGAAATTTTTATCTGCTATAATTTTATATAATTGCTTTAATCATTTGGGGGTTTCAGAGTCACTTAGGAATCGGACAGGCTGCATGTGCTTACTTAAATATGTATATTCAGTTTCTTAGTGGGCAATCAGCCATATGGTGCCAGTGGCCACTATATTGGGTGGCACAGAGTTCTAGAACATTCCTCTGATCTCAGAAAGCTCTATCACACAATGCTAGCATAGACCCTCTCAAAAAAAAGAAAAAAAATGCACTAGTCACAGACACCCAGTTTTTTCCATATTCTTTCCGGAGGTTCCAGAATTCCCACCCCAACACATATAATTTAGCAGAGGTGGCAAACTTGTGGCCCCTGGACTGGATATGGCTCCATTGGGTTTTATTTGGTCCAGAGGTTTTTTTTTTGAGGCAGGACACTTTGTCTACGGTCTGGAATCCCCATGGATCTGTGAATACGTGGGTGGGTCTCCCCCAAGGTAAAGCTCTGCTCCCTCTAGTCAGGGCATGCTGTCACTTTTTTAGCAGAGGCATTTACCTCCTGCCTGGCCCCTGGGGCCATCTGAGTTTGAGACCTTGGTTTATAGACAAAGAGAATAAAGGATTTTTTTTTTGGTGGGGGGTGGTGAAAAATCCAAGTGAGCACCTTCAGGAAGGGGTTGATCCAGGAGTCAGAGATCCAAGAGTTGGCCCCTGCACTGACTGTCCCTGGATGACTGTCTCTGGGCCTCGGTTTTCTCATCTGTAAAATGGGGATGATAAAGGGATACACAGTGTTGGGAGGATAAAGTGATATACAGTGTTGGTAGGATAAAGTGGCGTGATGCTGGTCAGGGCAAGTTGCTCATAATGCTGGGTCCAGGTTGGCTCCATCACACTCACGCGAAGTGGGGAGAGGGGGAGGAGGGGCGGAGGGG